CCCGGCAGGGGTTTGACTGGATGACCTTGAAAGGTCCCTTCCCACCCAAACCATTCCATGATATCCCAAATCTGTCACTTCCCACTTTTGCCACAGCAAGAAGCAAAACATGATCCCATCTCATCTCTGGTGGAGCAGACACCAGCTGCTGGAGCCAACTGCTACCTGCCCCAAGCACAGCACTCACAAGATCTTAAACAGACCCAGCAAAGAAAGAGCGGACACAATTTTATCTAACAAAACGCTCTTGCTGTGGTTCTGGGACATTTTGCCAAATCAGTAAGGTCTACACCATTTTCTTGGACTTGCCCTCTGCAGACTTGAGTGTGCAGTGAAACTATTGCAGGAACATGTCTGGGTTAGGTCACCTAAAAGAATAAGATGGTCTGTCTTAGCAGACAGCAGCAAGGTGGCCAAGAGAACGAGCCATCACTTCCAGGGTGACCCCCACACATCACTCTTTGTTGGGGACTCACAGATCAGACACCAGAGGGGTACGACAGCACTTTGGACTGAATCCCAAGGTTTGGAAACTCATTAAGTGTGAAGTCAAAGATCACGAAGTCTCGGGCACCACCCCCCTAGGCTCAAACACAGCGAGTCAGGCGTGGGGAGCCTCCGCCCACGGGCACGCCGGGTGGGAGGCAGGAGCCGTGGCACAAGTTACCTTCAGCTTCTGACAGGCCAGTGCTGCTGCCTTGTTCTCTGCCTCCACCTTGCGACGGCCCTTGGCAGCGAAGGTCATGGGGCAGGGCCAGCGCAGCGTCAGCTTGCAGATCTTGGTCTTGGTGCCCACCGTCCGGAACTGCATGTACTCCTGAGAGAGGGAGCAGCCTCTGGGGTGCCTGCAGACCGTGCCTCTGGGCACCCCGAAACTTCTGAGCGTTTCCAAGCAGAGATTAATTCATTTTATGGTGTTTTTTTTCTTGTACCAGATGGGGTTTACTGCAGAGTTCCACTCCCACTGGCTAAGCAGAAGTGAGAGCAGACAGCTGTGTGAACACCACAGAGCCTACGGGGTGGAGCACAGCTACTGTGTGCTAAGCCCAGGAGGTCTGGGAAGGCAGTGGGTGACACATTCCAAGGAGGAGCATCACCGGATGCTGGCGAGAACTGAGTTGTGGAAAGATTCTGTCAGCACAGAAACTACACATTGCCCCGAGTAACACAGACTTGGGTCTGCTGCAGACACACGGGGAAACACAAACTTATCAGCCTCAGAAAATATTCTCCTTTGGTCAGACAGCAGCTCCTCTACTGTCCTGGCCTCAAGCAGCAACATTCCTCATGCTTCTATTAAAACATTTCCCCTGTTCTCACCTCAAAGTCTTCTCCTTCCTCTCCAGGCTGACTTTTCTAGGCCTAGTTTTAACCCCCCTTCTCTCCCTACTTCCGCTGCCCCAAAAAAATGCATCCAAAGTTATTCCAGATGGAGTCTTTGAGTTTCATCCCCGGTAGGTGTCAACCAGCAGCTTACCTTGACTGTGGAGGAAGAGGTTGCAATCTGAATCACTTGGGCCAGGAGATTTTTGGGAAGTGGGAACTGTGTCAGGGCACGGATGGCAGTGTTGTCATCTGTCATTTCAATGGAGCTCCCTCCTCGGCTAGAGAGAGGATCAGAACAGCTTGATACCCAAGAGAGCTTGATACATGAATAGCCACCCTGTGCTCGGACCCACCTCACTTCAAGTCTGCTACCAAGGTCTGAAACTGAGTAGTTAAAGACACAGAAAAAAAAATCCAAAAAATCCAGCTGGATCTTGCTGCTATATCCTCTCAGTCAGAGGAGAACCACTCAGCCCAGTGCAGCCACCTACTAAAGAGCAATCGAACCTTTGCACCAGCACTACAAACCAGACAGCCTCAGCAGCTTTTAATAGATTAAAAAAGGGAATTATTTCTGAATCCAAAGAGCATCCCTAAAACCAGCCACCAGCACCAGGTCCTTATTGATCTTACTCCTGTTGATTATCGAAAATCAAAGACCTGTACTCATTTGGCACAGCAGTCAGCACCATCTAGAGATGCAGAAAGCTGCAGCTCGGCCGTGAGGATGTGCAGGGACACATCAGCTACAAAGACAGGTCTCTGCTCTCCCCACCCAGGGCGGGCAGCTCCCAGGGCACACGTACCTGGCGTCTCTGCCCGGGGTCCGAGCGTCCTGGTGCGCCATGGGCAGGTAATCGGAGACGTCGATCGCTTCCTCTTCCAGCTCTCCTTCCTCCAGCTCGCCCTCCTCCAGCTCCCCCTCCTCCAGCTCCTCCCTCCTCATGGCTTTCGGCATCCTGCCCTGCTCCATGGGCTGGATGGCATCGTCGGGCTCCATGCGGCGCCAGCAGGTGGACAGGTCGGCGAGGGAGGGGCCGGACTTGGAGCGCCACTTGCCCTCGGAGCACCAGC